CCTCCGCCTTTGAGGACTGGAAATCGTGAGGAGGTAGGTGCAAGCTACGTTCCGGCTCGCAGTCGTGCACAGCGTCCGCCGTAGGCCTTTGGAAGTTCAGGGTGTGCGTTCTCGCATTTTACGAGACTCTGCCTCTTTCGCAAACCCCGCCCCCTGCCCCCTTCATGTGAGCTAAGTCACACACAAGATCCTTGCGGTTCGTTTCTCGAGTGAGGTCCATCAGTTCAGCCATTCTTTGCCCGTGCCCCTCAGCAGATCAGACGAAGGTCGAATAATCACTACTGGTAGTAGGAGCGAATAATGACTCGTGTGCACGAGGAGGTCGAAGAAAAGATTCAGTCGACCTCGAGGCTTGAGAAGTGACCGAGACGGCACTGCTAGATCGGGCCGCATCAGACGTGGTCGACCATGTGTACTTGCTCAATAATACTTTGGCTAACTGGTGAATGACACGACCCCGGACGGTCTGGTCTTGTGAACGGCACCAGTCGGCAGGCCCTGCGGCGATAAGATACGGTATTATAGGCCGTGCCCAGTTTGATATATATTGCCCAGTGCCGACCGTCCGGCTGCTTACCCGGAGAAAATGGCAGAGGTGATGGTCAACGCATAAGGAAAGGGATAGATGGTGAAATCCATCAGGAGTCGGTTGCGAACTAATTTGACGGCGACGTCGCAGAGGCCCAGCGTCTCCCTCGTCTCGCGACATTTCTTTTTTGAGCTAAGGCTGCATCGAATCTGGATTACTCCGTGTCTGCAGCCAGCATTCAATGGATCAGGGCTGAAAAGAAGAAAGCACACTAGCTGTCAATTCCGGCACATGATGCAACAAAATCTCCTACCTACGTTCGACGGAGAATTACTTCCAAGTTGACGGGTGAGTTAAGAAATTCTTTCTGGGGAAGCCGAGCCACATTTCCTGTCTGGGGAGCACGCAAGCCTGGAGCCGGCTCCGGGCCGTCACATCCGTCGGCGGCGGCCGGAGTGGAGCCGGAGATGGGGGCGGATTCCAATCTATCGCAGCATGCCGCCACTAGTTCCGTCATATCCGGGGCCGACGCTAGATTTAGAGTTAACAATTGCCTTCTGGTCAATTCTCAGCAGCCGATATTGGCGAACCCCTATTCCGCGCAAAACACAGCCTCACGATGGTGAGGCAGAAGAAAGAAAGAAAAAGGCTCGTCATTATGGCGAGCTTGGCGCACACGCACACTCTTTGGGTTGATGCGCTGCTCAGCCCAAGGAATATCCATTAACAAACTGTAGATATGCTGGTGCGGGCCTCGTTCGTCACAGCATGTCGAGTCGGGCTTTGCTGTTTCATTCCGCTCATATGACAAATTTGCCCCAGTCCGCTGGCCTGAATGGTCGGTGCGCCCGCGGCCTCTCGGTCTCGAAGCGAAGGCCGATGTTTGGATGATGAGAGAGAGCGTTCGGTCGGGTTGAATGGCTCAAGACACGGGCGCACCTGAACACACACACTCGCACACTCATTCATCCACTTCCACGCACAAAAGGGGCATGCTTTCGGATTGCAGCTCGTAGGTATGGCCTTGCGAATGATCCGAAAAGAAAGCCCGAGAGTGCAAAAATAGGAGACGGAGGGCCTGAGGGAGCCCGCGAAAGCGCTTTGATGTCACCCAGCGAAACAGTCTGCACACGAATCTAGCCCCAACGCGGACACCCAAACTTACGAGCCCAGGTCTCGACAACGTCCGACGGGTGCCCACGTTGCCAACGGCAAGTGGAATTTCTCTGGAAAATCCCCCTTCCAGCAGCTCTGCAGGGTAGAGTTCCAAGACCCCTGTGCCGTCTCAGCCTGCCAGTTGATTCGCCATGGTTTTGGATATACGGCATAATCCTTGCCTCTCGTCCGCAAAGCTGGGCCTTTCTGTCTGACATTTCGCCCCAATGCACCCAGATCCGCACCAGGGGTCCCGTGTTGAGACTCCAACCCCCTTCTCCACACAGGTGATACTGGTGCCCAGATGCACGCGGGCATTGGTTCGTGCTCGACTTCGGATGCAACTGATGCTCGTGGAATTAAGATGGCATGCGAATCACTATATAGTTCAGATCAATGAACCCGTTCCCAACCGCGTTTGGACCCCTCCACCTCTACCGGCTTCTGCTTCATTCTTTGCTTTGTCCCAAGGTTTCACCCCTGGTAACCAGCAGTTCGGTGTCGACATCTACATTCACTTCTGCAATTTGAATCTTTCGAATTTCTCGATTCCATTTCTCTGCAAAAACGACACTCTTTTGCACGCGCCAAGTTTGAGAATTTGATTCATCCAACAAACACATACTTGACGTTGAGAAAAACAACATGCGATTTTCCATCGTGGTCCTTGCCTTGTCGGGCAGTGCATCGGCTCTGGTATGCTCCTTAGTCTTCAGCGACAATTACAGAATCATTTATTGACGAATCTTTCAAAACAGCCTGCTCTCAGTGGCCTAGCGGCTCATCAGCCCACCGAACTTGTAGACCGAAGCACTGGCGCCGAACCCGCCTCAGTGGCAGACGATTTGAGCCGTCGTGGCTTTAAGGCGGAGGTCGTGTCCGCCGACGATACGAACGCGAAGAAGAGGGACTTGGAGGTTGTGACGAGGCAATTGAAGACAGGAAGCGCGGCAGCAAGCAAGACCAGCACCGGGCCGCACGCGGAGGCAATTGGTGACAATAAGGTCAACCCGACGACGGGTTTGACGGATTCGGAGGCCGCAGAGATCGTGACCGGACTCGATCTCAAAGACAAGAAGGCTCCAGGGTCTCTCAACGCCAAGGGCCAGCGGAATCCGCTGCCGGGTCTGAGCGCGGACGAGACGGATGCTATCGTGAAGCAGGGGCAGGCAGCTCTCAAGGAAGCCGGCGCATGATAGGCAAGGTTCCCGTGCGAAAACAATAAAACCAAAATGCCATCGTTGGAGGCATCACAAATATCTTCTCATCACAAACTCGTGACGTAGATTAGATAATGGCATTGCTGCCTGTGTGATGTTACAAGCGGTCTTAATGACTAAAACCCTTGAGGGCTAAGGATTTAGAGACGATCAGGAAGGCACATCAATACGAGCTGTAACAAGAGATAAGTATTTAAGCAAACCTGTTGCCAGAGGGATGGGATTACAAGCGCTGTTGACTCTATTATGCTTGACTTGGTCTTGCTCTGCTGGTTCGTCCGAATTCGCTGCAGAGAAACAGCTTGTATCGCTGCGATGACAGGTCGAATGTTTACCGAGAGTCTACGGCTTTCGCACGAGTCACTCGTTGCCCGCGCAGAATAACGGGGCGCTGATGTCACCTTGAAGAGAGTCATTCAGCTGCTTAGAACTCTGTTGATTAAGTTTTCCTCGGTGATGCCGGCCCCACTCACTACCATCGGTGCGGAAGTCTCCCGGGATAGAAGCCGCGGTAAGTGGGCCCAGGCCGAATTCGGTTGCCGACAGGAGGGCCAAGATGCCCGGAGCACGTCGAGTTCCAGATAAAGAGCACATCAAACTCAGCGAGATCGAATGAACCCTGGGCCTTTGCGGGAGCTCGGTTGTTGACTCCGACTTGACATCGAAATGACGGATCTACAGATAGCCGAATCCTCAATTGAAAGGCCCCTGTTTTGTCCAGATGTTCATTCCCAATTTCTGTCCGCGAACGATGGGCAAGCCTGCATGCAAAACCCGATCATCACCCTCGCCATCGCTGAGCAAATTTGTCCAAAACACGGCATTGCCCTCCACGGGTCGAAACGTGACGCCCGCATCCCACGGCTCATCGCAGTCGACGTATCTACACCAGCCTTTCCCCGGCGGCGATTGAAGCCGAGGGAAATTCGTTCCTCCGCCAGCAATATCGTTGCTGACACCCACGTACGTAAAGAAACTGCTCACGCGGTTGCCGCCCTTCGCCACGGAGCCGTGCTCGCCCGAGTCGACTTGGAACCAGTCCGTGTGAAAATGATACTGCTCCCCAAGACCGTACTTGACCAACTGAATCGGCTCTAGATGAGTAGCTGGCGTATGGAGACCTTGGAACTGTCGTGCCCTCTCTAGAATGCATTGTGTGACAGCATCAGGCACAACGGCTGTTGATTGTGAGGTCCGGTGGGATGAAACCACATCCCCTCTATTTGAGGCGACGTTAGAGCGAGCGAATGTCCCGTTTCTAATCATCATTAGCAATGTTGTTTTTGCGGTTCACTTTTTTTGTTTCCATATGTGATAGCCGAAGTCCTTACGTGATTTTCTTGAGATGCTCTCGCTCAAAAGGCGTCACAAAATTGGTGATGTAGATGACTAAAGGAGCGTGTGAAAACAGGTTGACCTCGTATCCTGAATGATCACAAACATAGTCCCTGAGATCGTCGTTTTCACTGCGTCGGCAAACTGCAATTGCAGCAGCATACAGTGTGCCGAACCAGGCCAACCGCATCCTAATGTGCACTCGACGGTTGGGGTCTTCAATCAGCGATCAGGCTCCAAAAGAAGGCCTCAATGCGAGAAGAGCATCAGGAAATGACAACGTTCAAGAACACTGTTGTTGTCGATGGATGTTGATGGTGTTGGAGAATCCCGCGAAATTTTGTCAGAGTGCTGGTGCCCAAGATAGCTCTCGGAGATGTTCTCCGCATTGTCCCTGAATGATCACGGAGCTGATCATGTCAGTCAGAGATTTTCCAAATTGAGTATCAATTAGGTGTCCTGCATGTTACATTGCGTTACCACTCAATTTAGCCGCATGGTGTCGACCACATGTTGTTACCTTCGAGGTCACATGCCATTAAATTCTAGGCCACGATCGCCCGTGGCGCTGGTATTTACAAGGACGTCTTCGGTCAAGACGCTTCGGGACACCCTCTACGATCCCCGAATTGAAGGTGAACCTGGCCACACTCCTTCCTCTTAGTCCGCTCTTATCATTACACGCCTCCCTTTCTGGTTTGATGCACTTTCGTTGTTTTCAAAATTGAGATGCGAAGAGGAAGCTCAGGCATTCCATTATCATGTTTCACGTGGCCTTCTTCATTATAGGCAGTCTCCTGCTTGCACAAGTGCAGGCATGGAGACACGCAAGCAAGTCGGAGCTTGATGAGGCTCTCAGGATACGTGAGCATACTTTAGTAGCCTGTGAGTCTTGGGCAGCCTGCTTACGCTTACTCGACGAGATAATACATCTGCTGATGGATAATACTGTAATACCGTAGTCGTCGATGTAAGTGGTGCTTTAATTTCTAAGTGGTATTAAGCTGATAGAGTTCTCTTGTTTCAGCCGGACAGGTAATACCAACTTGGATATCTATCCGTGCAAGGCGAATGATTAACTCAAACGTTATAGTTGGAGTGGCCAGCTACTTGCTACGGAATGGGAAACTATAACCTACTCCGACAAATCTACCATGAGCATTAATTGCGCCGTCAACTGGAGCATTTGTGAAGAACACGACGTGCGGTCTTATCCCGCCATCAGACTTTACCGTTCTCCAAAGACGTTTGAATATTACAGGGGCCCGAGGCAAGCTAAATAGTGGGTCAGAATTCCCAGCAAGATGGCTTGTTGATAACTTACCCTCGTACCAGTATCTCCGCCTTTGTCAGTCGCAGTCTACGCCCCGTCATCTCCAGCCTGGGTCTGGAAAACGTCACTGACTTTGCTTACACCGACTCTGTTATTTTCATCCTTCGCCTTACAGACCGAGACGCAGGAAAGGGTCTCTACGAAAGATTTCACGATCTGGCTTCCGACAACGCACATAGATACTCGTTTGGTGTCATTTCACGGGACCCCGAGGATGGCCCGTCATCACTCGACTGTTTCAACAACTTGGATGATGTCACACTGTCGACAACAGACTTTTTCAGCCACATTTTTTCATTAGATGAATTTCTTGCGTCCTGTGCCACTCGACTGGTTACGGAGATGACACATCTGAATGAAGCTGATTTCATAGAGGTGAGCCATCTCCCGTCGTGTATCATCTTGAAAGTAGTGCGATTTTGATCATGTGCCCACAGAGCGATGTCAACGTCCTCTATTTTTTTGATTTCAATCTAGATCGTCGTGAGCAATTCGCCCTTCACATCAAGGAGACCGCCAGAAAATACGCTCAGCGTCTCAGATTCGTGACGGTCGACCCGCCAGCATTTCCTGATGTGCCATCACGAATGGGGTTGGAGTGGAAGTTTCCCGCCATCGCACTCCAGAACAAGAATGCCGGGCTCACGTACCACTCGGAGCAAAGCGAGTCCATTACACCTGGGTTTGTGGAAAACTTCCTTCGGTCTGTAGCCAGTGGGAAGGTCCAGCCAGCGTCTCAAAAACACGTTGACGCTGAACCAACGGACGGCACAGAAGCTATTCCGCTAGAGAAAGGAGATTACCGCCAGAGAGTCAAGCACGACGAGCTTTAACTCTGCACGTGGCAATAAAGCAGGTGTCTACGAAGAACGCATCATAGGCTCGGGGAAGGTATCTAGTATGCAAGTACTAGGATACTTCGCTTAAATTATACTCTGTTGAATCTGCTCTACTCTAAAGTCTAAACCATCATGGTATTCCCCTGTATCTGTTATTCGAGGATTTGCAAAATTGCCGGTCATAGTCATTTGCCATGATGTGAGCTAGAAAATACCGAGCCCCGTGCCGGATTTCGATTGCACCCACTTCTGCCGTAGTGCTGACTTCCACTCGTCTAGCTTCTGCACCTGCCCATCCACGAAAATCTCTCCGGCTTGGAGGTCCTTCGGCAACGGCGGCACAATCAACCATTCATGGCTCGGCTTGCACGGAGACGTGTGTCCAGGTGTGAAATTCTGGCTTTTGACAATTGCCAGGCATGGTAAGCAGAACTTGGAGTCGATGCAGTACCAGCACACTGCGAACTTGTCGGAAGGCGCAAATAGCTTCAGGCAATGATCGCAAGAGAAATCGCTGCTCTCAGTGAAAATCTTTGTCAGTGTGATCTGTTTCGTGTGTCTCCGTGGAGACAGACCGCCAATTTTGGGTGAACTTGAGCGTCTTTCGCCGATCAAGTGGCTAGCGAGAGCTGTTGCTGCCGGGGGTGTTCTCGCAGACTGCCAGAGTGCCTGCGCGTTTGTCGTGTCACCTGCCGCGATCAGGGTTCGCTGCAGGTTGGCGATACTGATCTCGTCGTTCTGCGGCTCGTCGTCTTCCAATAGACCCAAGGTTTCAGACACCAACTTCGACAGCAGTCTTCGCGACTCTTTTTCTTGTTTGTGGAGGCGATAAAGGAGAACCAGGTAGATTGAAGCTTCGTTGAAGTCGAAGCCAGCCATGTGGAGCGGCACATTTCTATTTTGGTACTTGCGCTGCTGTTCCATGAGTTCTTCCAGTTTGACGATCCAGGGATTGACTGCATCAGATCGCAGCGTCTCATCGACCTCGAGGGCTTTCAACGAGTATGCTCTTGCAAGTTGTTTGAAAGATGCAATATACTCGATACGCACAGCCAAGCTGCCTCTGGCTTTGTAGTCGTGAAAGCAAATGCTTTCCTGAATGCCAATGGCATTATCATACTGCTGTGCCGCCATGTAAACATTGCCCAGAGAATTTCGTAGGTAGAACGCCTTGCGAGAGTCTTGCGCGTCGTGTGCAGACTGGATGGCAGAAGCGTAGCGCTCTGCAAGGACCTCCGTTTTGCCTGTCCGAGCGGCGGCTTGAGGAAACCAATCCCTTATCGACGGGTCCGGAATTTGGCTCAGAAGAAACAAGACAAATCGTGAATTCCCCCTGTCCGTGTATCGACCGTCCAGCTCGTCAAAAAGGCCAATCATCTCCGTGGCGCGGTTGTTCTCGGCGAGAACCCTCATGTAGGCAGCCTCTGGCTCAAATTCAGGAGTGTCGTAAGCGTTTCGCATGGCTTTTCGGCAATACGCAATGGCGCTCTCCACACGACCCATGCGGTTGTAGCACTCTGCAATCTGAGCTTGGTTCTTGTAGAGCCTCCATTTGCTGTTCTTGATTTCATGGTCGGTTTTGTAGTAGCCCTTGGCCATGTGGTCCTGTTCTACGACTTCGCACATGAGATGAAGCTTGAGTGCCTTTTCAAAATTGCCGCTCATTGCGTGGCAAAGTCCCATGCGACCACAACTCTCCACGATATTGCTATCAATGTTGAGTGCGTTTTCGAAGTACTCCAGCGCCTTTTTGTGTTCCCCGAGATTGAGCAGCGTACTGCCGATTCTTCGATACCAATGCCCAGTCTTTGGGTGGTTGGCCCAATCGGTGGCTCTTTGGATTCTTTCTTCAACCTTGACATCCTGCCAGTGCAGTTCGGAGTATGACCATGGCTTACCCTCCTCGAGCAGAGGCAAGGACTGCACCACACCGAAACAGAACAGGGTTGGCATGTACATCCCGAAGCCTTCGACAACCCATGCTTTGGCGAAAATTCGACCCATGGGCTCCAGCAGCCGCGCAGGACTTGACGACGCAGCAGTTGCCCATGCTCTCTGTTCGACGCTGAGCCCGCTGAAGACGTCAGGGTCTTTCAACCACTTGGAGACCACCTCAATGTTCTTGTCTGTCCAGATATCCAGCGCCTCCTCAAAGAGATTGGTCCACGTCAGGAGCACAGTGGGATCCGTGAGCATGGTGTAAAGGCGCTGTCCGATGTCTGCCTTCTCAGCCACTGAGATATCCGAACGTTTGACGTCTTCGAGATGTTCTGGCCAGTACCACGCAGCGTATCGTTGCAGAGAGAGACCTTCGTGGCCTAGTGTGAAATATGTCGGGTCGGTGAAGATACGCAGGCAGGTTTTCAGGACGTGAAGTCTGGCGTCGGCCAGCTTAAAGCCAATGGAAGGAGATTGGGCGTCTGCTCTCAGATCCGTCGAGGTGTCATCCCTGAAAAATTCTTTGACGGACATGTGGAAGAATGTTACGTATGTAGTGCTTTTGTTTGAAAAGTACTCAATGTCCCTGTCAACGTCCAAGAGGTCCGGGCTTGTCCTTGGGCTCGTTTTCTTCGCGGTGTCTAGGTCAATAAGAGAAAGTCGGCGATGAAGTTCATGTCGGTCGGCAAGATCCGCAGTCGATAAGCCATCCTCGCGCTCGAGCGTGAAGAAACATGAGAACTGTCCTCTCAAAGACTCTTCGAGGCGAAATGGTGCATCGCCCATTTTGAGAGTAAGGACGGCCTCGATTTGTTCCAGTGTGAGACCCATCTCAGCCACCGAAACCCAACGTAAAATCTCGTTCAGATCGTCCGCCTCTTCTTGGGTGATGCTTGCGCTGAATCCCAAGACAGCCTTCTTGAGCATACCGTTGATTTCTTTCGGGTAGGACTGCAGACTCTCAATGATCCTTCTGGGATGCCGTATCCGGCTGAGCTCTGCTAACATGAACTTGGCCAAGATGAATAAGCCATCGACCTGCTTAACCATTGCCTCGATAATACTCTCTTTGAAATCCTCAGTGGACCCTCGGAGAATCCGCGCAGAATTCACGCCTTGGACGATGTAAGATACAATATCTGAGCTGTTTCTGTCGGGTGTAACGTGGATCGTTCGGAGTTGCTGACCCCCAGTAGAGTCGTTCCCGATGTAGTCGTTTATGTCGTCCGAGAGGCTTGGTCGTCCAATCAGTGCGACTTGGACCCGTGTAAATTCCGCGGATTGCTGATTAAGGTCATCCAATAGCGACAGAAATTCGGTGACTTCGCGAGGTTCGGCCTCGTCGAGGCCGTCTATGAGTACATATATGTGTCTTTTCCACCTGTCGGGCACGCATGGTTCGACAAGCAGTTTCCTGAATGCACTCGAAACGGTCTTGATCTCGTCGCTGGTAGCTACTTTGCGGATGAGCTGCTTGCCGTAAAAAACGTCCTGTTCACTGATTTGGTACGCCATGTCTCTCAAGGCCTGTGTCATGGAGCGAGACTCTGGGTTGTTCTGCTTGAAAAAGAAGTACCCCATCATGCTGGTGGTATCTTGGTTATTGAGAAGCTCTTGGCCCCACGAAACAAGACGAGACGTCAAATACGACTTCCCGGTCCCTGGGTTTCCTGCAACCCAGAGGAAACGAATATCACCTGCCAGCCAAGCCTTCAAGGAGGGATCCTCCAAGATCCAGTCGCAGGTACCCGGCGTCCTTGTCCTGTTCAGGGCCGAGAGAGAGTCTTCTGGGTACACTGAGGGCTGTAGGATGCCCTTGAGTTTATCTCTGTTGGAGGAGAGCGCCTGCTCCCTCGTCTGGGGCACGCGTGTTTCAGCACGAAGGGTCTGGACGTTAACATCGACCCTTGACATCATTTCAAGCAGGCGATCTTGGTTGGACAGCGACCGCTTTACGCCGGCGCTGGTCTCTGCAATAACGAGTCGCTCCTCACCCTCGGTGAGTGCTGCCAGCTTTTTCATAGCCTCAGGCACCTTGCTCTCCTTCCCAAACAGTCTCTTGAAATAGGACTTGAGACGGCCATTCCGCACCTCGTGCGCCGCGATGACGAAGATTTCAAAAATGGTGACGAGGATCTTGACGACTTTATCGTGAAGCTCGTTGGACATTTTTTGTGACACGTAGAACTTGAGTCGGATGGTGAAGTCCTGCATCTGGTCGAACAGGTCGATGATGGAGTCGTAGCATGCCGAGACGTCCTTGGCGGCGTTCACGAGGTACATGACGGCAGCGAAGATGGTCTGGCCAGGTGGGAAAATCTCTTCGGATGCGCCAGCCAGGGCTTCGCCGACGACTTCAAGGGGCTTGCATGCAGCGGACAAGCATTGGAACAAGGTCTGGCGCTTCTCGCGAAAGCTCGTAAACTGTTCATTCTGGCGGTTGACGACGTTGAGAAGGTCTTCAGTGGTTCTCATGGGCGGGCTCATGTAGTCCTTGAGATCGAGACCGGTGGAGTCGGCATATTGTTTTTGGGCATCAGCGAGGATCCTCGCAAACTGTCGGTGGATGCTGTCGGAGCGCAGGAGCTGTGCCTTCTCATCCATGACGGTGTCTGTGGTCCCCGCGCAAGATTGGCGGGGTTGGTTTGTGGGGATGTGGGATCGTCAGACTGAGCAAAAGTCGACAAACGAAGTGGTGAGCGCGGTGTAAGGTATGTAGTCTGCGCAAAGCCGGGATGAGTCGTTGAATGTTATATATATATCAGACGAGTAAGCTTGGTGAGCGGGAGGAGCGCGGGAAGGGCCGCAGCAGCACGGCCGATGAGACAAAACCAACTTGCGCCAGGCAGGGCAGGGCAGGCTGTGAGATGGGCGCGACGCGTTGGTGGTGGATTGATCCAGCTTGAGGCAGCTTCGGCAACCAGAGTGTTTGAGTGCGGCCAAGACCAAAGCAGGTCAGGCGAGGCAAGGCGGTGACTGCGGTGCCCGAAAAATCGTAATACGCGTGACAGCCCTGCCGTCAGCTTGTCGGCTCATTGGCTCCAGGAACATTCAGCTAGCACGCTGAGCAGCAAGTGAGTGCGAATGAAGCGTGGTCGCTGCTTTAGCTCTGCGCAGCGGCGGCGCGAGGTATGCAAAGTCAGCAACGTGGGATCCGACATGGGCCTCAAGCGAAACGAGACGAGACAGGCGGGGTGGCCACTTGACACGTCGTAGCATCGCAAATGGTCGGTTTGGTTGGTTGGTTGTTGGACGTTGGAGGAGAGTCATGGTGGACTGTGGATGGCTTCTTCGCTTGGGCTTGGGGGGGACCAGGTTGAAAGAGGGGCAACGAGGGGTAGGCAACAGGCAACCGCCATTTGCACGCATTTTTCGCAGTCAGTCAGTATTGATTCAGAGAGGGGCCTGTCGTCTCGTACATTGGCCACAGCGGGCAATTTATCTAGGCATACAGCGTGGCTGTGGACGGCAAGGCGCCTAAGTATTTGATTGATATCCAGTCTATTGTAGACACTCACACATTCTTTGTTGCGTAGTGTAGATTGCCCAGACAAATGAAGAGGCAGCCAGGAAGGAGAATCAAAATCCGCAAGAAACACTGGTGATGTTCTAGAATGGCGGGGTGAAGGAAAGGAACGGAACCGAGACAAAGCCACACCACACCAGGCCAACGCGATGCTGACATAATCAACCCAGCCTGGGTACATATCAAAGGCGCCTCACTCAGCCACGGCGACGATGGGTTGGATCTCGATGTCGTCCGTCGTCTTCTGCCACAAGACAAACGGAACCGTCCAACTGTCGTCCCAACAGCATGGGTGACGGACCCTACAGGTACCAATTCCAGATGAAATTCGCCCAATTCACCTCAACTCTCCATTCAGGAATACACAAAACCTTGTTGTCGATGCATGAAACCTGTACCGGCCGCCATCGAGATCCCAGATGCAGCCAATCACAGGCCGGGGATCTGGACCCTGATCGCTCATCGACCTCACTGCTCGCAAGCTGCCTTTTGACGTCGGCCTCCTCCTCGTTCCATGCCGAATATCTCGCAAAGTTATTTCTCTTCCCCTTTCTGCATTTAAACAGCCCGACTTCTACACCTCCGCCTTTTCTGTCAAGAACCCGCTTCTTACAGCCCCCGCGCCCAATGAGTTCGTTCCTAGCAAGTCCCTGTTGCACATTGAAACATCCAGTATTAGAGCTACACACACACACACACACACACACACACATACATCCATATATATAAACATACAGGCACGCGATCGATCGGATAATCCACCGATGTCAACTGTACAAGACGAACCAATGTCAGATGCAAAACTTGAGCTTTTACCCCTCCATCTTGGTAAGCTTACTTGTGTCTTTGCGTCACTTGTCAGCACTCAGTAATGAGACCCGTAGTGGTGACTTGTCTAACTCGTAGTACAGTCTTGCATCCAAGTCCCCTGCAACATTTTCTTGTGCCCCCTTCCCACATGCAGGGCAAACTCGTAGACCTGTTCGCCTACAGGCACTCTCGAAATACCCATTCTTCAAGCCTTGGGGCTACCTCTCAGCTCAACCTTGGGCATGAGTCCATATCAGGCTCCTACATCGTGCATCTAGAATGCGACGTCGAAAGCTTGGAGATTGGGCGAGAGGATGTACCCCACTACGATCATGGAAAGCAACATGACTTTTGCCATCGATTTGCCCGATGGGCCCTCGAGCATCTGCGCGTCCCGTTTTGCACTTTGCATGACAGCCGATGCAGTATGGCCACTGCGCCGCTCTCGTCTGCACAATTACTTGGTAATCCACCGAGAACTGGACTGATTGGCTATGCCTAACTCTGCTGCTGTCGAACCGCATTTCGCTATCGCTTGGCTTTGGGGCGCGCCTACTCGCGATTGAAGCCATAGCTAACTTGTGCTAGGATTCAAAAGGATTGAAATCAAGTTTTGATCCCGAGGACCCATCGATTATTCGGATTCCGTCCAACGAGAAATTGGAGGCTCAAATTGAACACATCGGACCAAATATTAGAAGCCCCAGGCTCTGATTTTGCTGGGCCTCTTGCTCCTTAGAGGGCGCTTGATAAATCCATAAGCGCCAACAGACAAAAAGCAAGCTCTCCACCATCATGGTTGGCCATGTTTGCGGCAACTTAACGGTTTCAATATTCGAGCGTTTTAAATTACATCAAGGTAGGCAAGAAACCATTAGTCCCTTCGGCGAAGACTAATGGGAGATAAACAAGGAAGAAAAGTAAGCCCACACTAAATTAGAAAGAAAACCGTCGACCGCACACGCAGAGACAAAGAAGAGACATAATCTGGGATGCTAAGCCTGAGTAGGTGGTGAAGCGGAGCGATACCGCCAATGCAAGTCATCTCCATACCAGGCCCCGGTGGAAACTCGAGGGCACGGGAGAGGAACACAGTGTGAGCGTTTTCCGAGGAACCAGTCAGGCTGCCACACGCATGAGAAATTGTTACGCAGGTACACGTACTCACATGGCCCCCCCGGCCGGCACCAACACATTCTCTTTCCCCTCCACCACTCTCCCAAGACCTGGTGTGCTCAGTGCTCAGAAAAAGAGTACCTTAGTGTGTGTGTCTCTCTCTCGGTCTGCAGTCTGCGAAACGTTCATGTTCTTTCCCCGGGCCACGGCAAGTGTTTTCTTCTCTCTTACATAAAAGTCAGTATCGACATCGGTTTGCGGCTTATTATGAAGTCATTCTCATCCACCGTTGTCGCCTCATTTCTCTCCCTCCCCGATCGTTCCGCCAGCTCCTCTGCCAACTCGTCACGTCCTTGAGAGGCACCCTTGCCACAACTGAGCAACCCATGCAACCGGAACGCAAATACAGGAGTATTCTTCCAGGTCCTCCAGCCAACACCTCCTCGAGATCCCTCAACGACGACAATGGGGAAGCTACTTCTTCCACAAGCGGAGGCATCGGCGGCCAGGAGGGTTCCAAAAGGAAGCGCCGAGGGACCGCCAAGGCGTGCAACAACTGTCGGGAGAAGAAGATAGGGGTATGTGGCTCACATCTATCCTGTTGTTCATGCCACGTTCGCTCGTGGTAAGGCTGCGAGCTCCTAGTGTTCAAAGCTCGTCATTCACGCCAACCCCGGGTGTCGTGTGAGCGAATTGTGTGCGTGTTCAGGGGGACTGCACACCAGCAAGCCGACTCGGGATACTCAATAATCACTTGCAACCTGTCTCGACGCCGTCCGAAACCTCGCTAACATACTGACTGTGTTCATAGTGCAATGGTTTACATCCATGTAGCCACTGTCAGCGCCGCGGTCTGACTTGCGAGTACGTCGCCATCTCCAAGACCATTCTCAATTCCATCCCTCAGGGAATGAAGCTGCTGGATGAATCAACAGCGAAGACCCAAAGAGACGCGGCGGAAGTCCTCGCTATCCTTCGTTCTCTCCCCGACGACCAGGTTCGCGACGTTCTCCAGCAGTTGCGCGCTGGCGGGGACGCCTCGAACATGGTCGCCGCTCTCCGTGGGCAGCTCCATTCGGCCTACGATGTTCCCTTTCACGGTACCCTCCATGGAGTCCCGCCGCCCGACCAGAATTCGCTCGAGTTCGAGCTGATGGTGCGTCACTCCATCGCCTACTCACATTGGGCTCCGACGGAACTCCCGCAGCTAGACTTCGAGCTCTCTGCGAGGCCTGGCCAGGGCATTGCGGTGGAGTCCCCTTCGGCGGCGTGAGTAAACATTCCTCCCATCCGTTGACAGTGCCCGAACGCCACACCGTCGCCTAGATGACTGCCTCCGAGAAGGACATTGAGCATCACTGTCGTTGAGCGCTAACCCGAAGACAGAATCTCGCCCGTGTCAGCGGACACTCCTTCGCCCATGCCGCCAACAGAGTCAGAATCTTCCTTTTCCAGTAGCCGAACCAGGTTCCAGCAAGAACCACGAGAAAGCAGCAGCTCGAGTCTCAGTCTCAGTGTTCCAGTCAGAGTCGGCAGCCGAGAAGCAGGGCCAGCGGATTTTCAACCCCTCTGCGACGAAAGGCTACACAAAGTTGACATATCGGTGTGGACGAATGTTTCTGTTGCCCCTGACTCCGCACGGAGGGCTCTGTCTTTGTATCTTGAGACCGACCACACCTTCACAGCCTTGTTCGATGTTGACCTGCTTCTCGACAGCCTAGTCTCTGGCAACACGCGCTTCTGCTCCAGATTGCTCTTTAGTTCGCTTCTTAGCTGGGCTTGTGTATATTACTACAACACCCGAAAGAAATGGACGGAACGTGCTGACATACTGGCAGCAATCATACACCGCATTCGAATCCGAGGCAGCCGCCTGGAGTTACGCGTTGTATGACGAGGCGGCACAGCTTTTGGAGCGGGATCGTAACCTTGGACTGCTCACTCCAGTCACTGTCGCGGCACTGCTCTATATGAGCATGTCTTCCATGTGCCACGCAAAGAGTACTACAGACGCCACGAGACACCTTGAAAGCGCAATCGAGCTAGCCAGAAGTATCGGGCTGTTTGGGGTTGCTGGTGAGGAAGCAAACGAGGAGGACTGGTCGGGTGCTGCGGCAGATGTGCTTTGGAATCAAGCTATGGCGCAAACCGCTTGGGGCAGTTTCGTTTACATCACGTATGTTGGGCACCCCATGGAAGCCGTTTTCAGTCATGCGACGGTGTTCCTGAGAATTCTGGCGGCTCGAGGATGGTAACATTTTGAAGGATACAATGCGCCCACAGCCAAAGTTGCAAAATTGCATTTCCGCCGCGAGTACCGATCCCAGGAGACGTAGGTGAAAGCGAAGGGATGCGCAAATTGGAGGAGCAGCGTTATTCAGCCTACATGAAACGGACTTTTCTGTTTCTTTGCAAGCTGGTGCTAATAGCTCACGACATGATCTGGATGAATTACGCCGGTAACAGTCTAAATAAATCGCCATATTCCAGAGCGGAAGAAATGGAACTCGTCTACAAGCGCTATCTGGCGTGGGCAGATGGTCTGCCTCTGGACTTGGTACGCGCTGGCGAGAGCCAGCACCATGTTCTCCTTTTGCAGTAGGTGTTTTTTTTTTTTCCCAGTTCCCCGGAAAGAAAGAGGACTGGGTGGTGGAAATGGCAAGCTCATCAAAATGTTTGCAGCGTCTACTTCCACACATTCGTGCTGGATTTGTTTCGACCCTTGATCCGACACGGCGACGCGATGCGAGTCAAACTCGAATCGTTTACTTCGCAACAGGCTTCGCCCGAGGCCATCTGCGCTGCCTCGGCCACTCAACTGAGAAGGACAGCCGCGACGTACTTGCAGACGTGCGCGTCGGCGTCTTACAGTTTCAGCTGGAACACGGCGCTGCTATATGTGGCCAACGCGGCCTTCCGAGAGCCGAAACAGGGAATCGACGGCTCCGAGCGGCGCTCCGATGTTCGTACGTGTATTGTCGGCTACCAGAAGCTGCAGAAATGTTTCCGGCTTCCGCAAGCGATCATTAGGGGGCTATTATCCATGGTGTTGCGAGAGGGATTGATCACATCGGCTGAGGCACGCGCAATTATCAAGGATTCGGAAGAGAAAGGGAAGCATCACCCAACGTCTGACCCGATACTGGCACCTTTCGTCATTGATCTAGATCTTTGTTTGGTGAATCGGGAAGCGGCTCTTGTCGATCGATTGGCAGCCGAGTTCGACGAGATTGCGATATTCAACGAGTTCACCATGGTAACGGAGACCCGGGAGGCGCTGGACGCAGGGAGCGAGACCGTCACCTTCGACGTGGACGGTTGAGTCAGGAGAGCTACGGCGACGTCGAAATGTATGCCCTGGTCAAAAAGCGAATAGGAGTTCAACGACGGCATTGGGAGCGCTGGCGTCACGCGCGGGATATTTAAGTTCTTTCGGGAGGAAGTTCGGTTCAGGCACGGGCGCAGTTCGAGGACAGCAAGACGAAATCGGGCGGGGGGGAGGCGGGATAGACGGTGATTTATCGAAAAGAGAGGCGGAAATACCCCATGATGTGCAAACGAAGCTCATGACGGACTGTGAGAAATTATCGATAATGGCAATCATATTCATGGCTAGCGGTGGGCTTTGGAGAGGGATTCGATGTTGTGCAATTGTGAATGCGACTTGCGGGTGCCAACGGTTTACCTTCCCGGCACCGGCCAACGCCCAGGTCGAATCTCGGTCTCTGCGACCAATCCAGCCAGCTACCAGACCAATATTCCAGATATCGTGTTTCGCTCGGATGTTTCTGTTCGTATCGTTCGTTACGGCTGGTCAAAGTCGGGGGTATGATTTGCCTCGGCGAGGAATCTAGCCTGGATTGTCAAAACCGCGGCGATGGAGGCATCGCTTCACATCACGCTGAACAGGAGGACACAGTTCTAGTAGGGCCAGAAGCCTGGTTCACTTGGAGAACGGACTTAGGGGGGGCGGGCGGTTGATACGGGGAGTCGAGGGTGCCAGCAATCGGTAGCGATCGAGATCCCATCTGCTACGACAGGATCGGTAACGTCATGGCCCGCAACTTATGCGGTCATGTTCTGGGCAGCTTCTGAGATCTGTGTGCGGCGTAGTATTCGACAGACCAAATGGGTTTTGACAGCTGAGAAGACGGCACGGAGAAGCTTGGGGGCGGGATGGAACGATATTATAGGTATCTAAGCGAAGTCGGGCGGCCTGAACCGAGGCTCGTGTGACGCTGGAATACCATAAAGATCGTAGATCCTAGCCATAAAATGATGAGAATGGCACAGTAAATGACATGATCCCTTGGGATATAACCGTGGCCATCCAGGGCAGCTTGAGCACACCGCATAAGATTGAATTGCTCTTGGTTAGCCACCTCACAGTTTGCAGAGACATGTTTACGGCGGCCATACATCATCATGACCGCCTCCCGTCAAGCTTCACAGGGGTTCTAAGCTAGGCAAGGGTTCTGGAATGGTGTGTTGGTGGTGGTGCAAGTGCTGGTATCTGTAAGTAGCTGTCTATCAACCCTAAAGCCTAGATCGCCCCCATGAGAGACGCTCCCGCCCACAACATCGGCAGCTCACCCACTCTCATCGGGGTGTACACCTCGCAGGGGGGTCTAAAAAGCAGGCAGGGGGCTGTGGCAGTGCTAGAAGAATAGATCTTCCAGGCTATATAAGCATAATTTTCCCCTCATAGTCCACTCTACTATATCTTAACTATCCTTAAGCTATATTTATATATATATAAAACTTATTTTTAAAATACATTATTTTGAAGCTAAATATCCTTAATATCTTGATTTATAATAAACTCTCTTTTAACTCTAATTAATTTTATTAGCTTTTTAGCTATATTTGTAGATAACAGTTTATTTTTTAATTCTAATATTTTCTTTATTTCAAATAATACTAGATAATAATAAAAATCATAGAAATAATTTAAAAATAATAATCTAATTATAAACTTAATTTATTATATTATTTATTAGTTAAATCACTATTTTAATATATCTTTAGATTTATTTTAATAAAGTTTTTCACTACATTTTCTATGATATCTAAAATAGAAACTTTTTATATTCCTATATGTAGAAACTTATTCTAAATATTATTTAAACTATTTAATATTTAAACTATAAAAACTTTAAGATTATATAAAGTTTATATTTAATTTTAAAATAAATTGAGTTTTTATATACATTATATATATATATATTAACACTGTTTTAAACTTAAGAAAAATATCAATTAAATTTAATATTAGTTTTATTAATATAATAATATTAAAGATTATAAGTTTGTATACTTTTTAGTTATAACTTTAAATATATTATAAAATAAAAAAGACTTCATTAAAGTGTTATAAAAACTATGTATTATAAAAAATACTTATACAGCTTCTAAATTAATTATAGATAAATTAATTAAATATATATAAAAGTCAATATTTAATTTTTATATATATTATATATGTATTAATAAGATAGATAGCTTTTATATAGCTTTTTAACATAAATAATAGAAATATCTTAATAGCTTTTTTTTTTAAAGCTACAGTTTTTATTTTAGAAACTTAAAAAGACTTATTAACACTGAATATCTTAGATATTTAAATAATATAATATAAATATTATCTCTATATCATTTTGATATAAGCTAGATATATATATATCATAGGTTTTTTGTATTAATTACTTAAAGCTGAGTTTTTTAAAACTATGATATTTTATTTATGATATACTTATTAAATAAAATAAGCTTAATATTAAATATCTTTATAATATAATTAAAATAAATAGCTAGTATAAAGTTAGAATAAATTATGTATATTAGAAATATAAAAGTAAGCTATTAAGGCTATAATAAATAATAGATATAAAGTATTATCTAAATATACTTATTATATATTAGGCTTCTCTTATTTTTAAAGTAATAATAAGATAAATATGTTATTATATAAAGTTAACCGTAACTTCTATATACTTCTTAACTTTATTAAGTTTTTATTTATATTTCTCTTCATATATACCTTATATATATATATATATATATTCTACTCTCTTTTTATAGCTACTTTTATATTTTATAAATAAAATACTTTTTACCTTCTTAAATAAGCTTCATATTACTATTTTTTCTATGTATATATCTTTTATATCTCTAGTATATATTTAATATAAGCTAACTCTATCTATAAATAAGCTCTTTTTTATTTAAATATATATTAGATTTATAACTAATTCAAAGTTAATTTACTTTAAGTAATAAGTATAATATTTAATAATAAGAATAAAATAGCTATCCTCTTATAGAAAGCTTGTGTTTTATAGTTTCTAGCTAGAAATTTATACATAAATTAGTTTGTTTTTTTATATATACTACATATAAGCTAACTATATATAGAGGTTTTGTATAAATTTGCTTTTAATAAAATAAAGCTTATATAAGAATAATAGATTTATAAAATTTCACAGCTTCTAAATAGAGATTTCTGTATTATCCATGTAGTATAAATATACATATATATAAATATACATATATATATATATATATATATATATATATATATATACATATACATATTAGAAAGTATAATATCTTAAGGTTAATATATTATTTAAAAAAGTGTAAAAAAATATAAACTTATTTAAAGTTTATAAGTAATAAGAAAAATTACAACATGTATATATATTATATATATATTATATATATAATATATCTAATAACTTTATACTCTATAGATCTTAAATTATATATCTATATCTAAATAAATGTAAACTTATAAGAAAGCTATACTATTTTTTTAAATATATATTTATTTAAATTAAAGTAGTTTCTAGCTTTTTGGTTTAATAAATATATATATATATACCTTATAACTTATAATATAATATATATTATTAAACCTAATATGAATATAAGGTAGGCTTATAATAAATATATATCTTATAGATATACTTTATATATTAACGTTATACTTATATTAAGTTTTAGTAATTATTTATATAAACAAAACTTATTATAAACTATTAAAAAGCATTTATAATATTTATTTATGTTTTATTTAATATATATTCTTTAAAACTATTAAAAGAGGTATTTAGACTATTTTACTATTTTAGAGCTCTTTAAGCTTTAAGAAATAAAAACAAATAAGAATATCTTTAGTATATATAGCGTATATATAAGACTTAGCTTAACGTTAGGTTTTAGTTTACTAAAAGGAAAAAGGATAAATTATAGCAATTTGTATTTAGTCTTTTAGTAAAATACTAGCTTAATAATAAATATTTATATAGAAATATACTAACTTTATAAAGCTAAACTATATTTAAGATAACCTTATTACTAATTAAAGTTAGTTTTAATTTTAAGTTATATTAAAGTAAATATATCTTTTATTAATATATTATATATATTAAGCTAAGCTTAAGACTAAATATGTTATATTTTAAGCTATCTCTTAATAATAGCTATATTTAGTTTAAAACCTATATATATAGAGAGATAACTTAAAATTAATATATATTATGAAAAGCTTTTAGTAAATATATTAATATTAGTAATAATATATATAGTACTATAAAAAGTATCTATATATCTTTTATAACCTGTTTAACTTTCTAAACTTATTAACACTAAGTTTAGCAATTAAGTTAAATATATAAAATATAATCTTAGTTTAAAAGTTACTTAAATAGAGCATACGCTTAATATATACTCCGCTTAAATATAATATACTTTTCTTATTATTACTATTTACTTTCTATTTATATCAATATATAGTTAAAGATATATAAGATTTAAATATAAAATAAATAGACTAAAAGCTTCTTTAATTTAAATAAAAGATTTATAAACTCTATATTTAGAAGTATAAATATAAATTTTAAGAAGAGATTATTAAGCTTAAGTAAAAACTAATTAATAGAGAGGATAAACTAACTATATACAAAGCTTAATGTGAATACATATACTATATATATAAGCTTTTTAGCTAGAAATTAAGATTTATACTATTAATATATTTAGCAGTATATATATTATATATATATTAAATTAGATTATATAAAAGAAACCTTCACCATATATATATAATACTTAATATTAATTTTATCTAAAAATAATATATTAATTTAATGCTTTTATAGCTATATATACTAAGTATATATTATATAACAGAAGTCTATTTATAGCTATAAATCTATTTATAGATAATATATTCAATAGATATATACTATATGTATGCTTAGTTTTAAAGCTAATTCTCTTTAAGCTTCTCTTTAAGCTTCTTCTCTTTAAGCTTTTACTACTATTATTATTCAATAGTAATAACGCCTAATATATTATTAATATATATAAAATATAAATATAAGCCCTATAAAATATATGTTATAATAAAACTAAAAAGTAATAGTAGTTTATAAAATAGCTAAAATATAGTTAGTATATATTAAATACTAATAATATAAAACATATACTAATCAAAAACTTCTTAATAGAGATAATATATAGCTCTAAAATCAGGTTAATATATATTAAGCATAGCTTAAATATATATAAAGCATACTTTTTAAAAAGGCTTATTTAGAAAGCAAAAAAAGTGTAGCTACTTAAGCAAAAAGCATATTACGTTATATATACTATTAGTATGTATAAAGTTATAATTTAATTTAGATTAAATATATACCTTCTATTTATTATTAGAGAGAGTGCTAATAATAATATCCTCTTATATAATAAACTATAAAACTATTAATATATTCTCTATATATATTAGCTTTAGTTCTATTTTAATTAGAGTTATGTTATAATTACAGTTTATATTATATATTAAATTAAATAAAAGTGAGAATAATTTCTACTAAATATATACTCTTTTTATACTTTAAGCTACTTTGAAACCTATAGAGTTAGTATATAAGTTAGTATATAAGTTTAAAAATACTTTTAATAAAATAGAGAGTAATATACTAACTTAGATAGTTCTCCCCTTTAGCTTATAAAATAGATTAGTTATTATAAGCTAAAAAATAGCAGTTAGTTTATATAATATATATAGCAAATAAATAGCAAATATGTAATATCTTCTAGCTATGTATAACTTATACATAACTTATATAGTAGAAAGTTAAACTCAACTACTAATAAAAAATAAGATTAATTAGTTTATATTTAATATTAGCTATATATGTATAAAAAGTATATAGAAATAAAATTATACTAAAGCTTTTATTTTTAAAATAATATTACTAATAAAGCTATTATAGAGGCTAATTTTAAAATCAATCTTAATAGAGCATATATTAAGGCTATATAAACTATATACTTAAACTTAAAAACAATAGATATGTTTTTTATGGCTATTATTATAGACCTAAGTATAAAAAGCACTATATATAGTTACTATACACTGTGAGGGGCTAGCCTTTAATTTACTCAACTTAAAGGTGCCTTAATTATAGTAATCTAAGGTAAAGAAGGGAGGTTTCTAGGATACTCCTTATGTAGAAGGAAAATAGGTATAAAGCGCCTATTAAGCGAACATAATCGCTAAGAGCAGAATTCTTAGCAGTTTATAGTATCACTTAAACATAATAAGTAGGTATAGCATATAATATATACACTAAATATATACTAAAGATATAATATATGTTTTTAGCTAAAAATATTTATAATAAAACTTAAGTTTTATTTATTAAGGTTACAAACTATATATTATTAATATATATATAATAAATATATAAAATATATAAATATTAAAATACTACTAATAACTATAATAATCAAATTATATAAGTTACATTAATATTACTTAAATATAAAAAGAGAATATATAAGTTATGTAATAAGCTAAAGTTGATAAATAACTTTATATATAACGCTAAAGCTAATTTTAACTATATAGCTAGGATATTATTAATATATATTTAATCTAAATAGAAAGCAAACTAAATTTATATTCAAAGATTAACTTTACATATTTTTCTAGCTATATTAAAAACCTCTATTAATTACAATAAAGATATACTTAATTTAACATACTTTACCAGTCAGCCGCGCATATCAGTCAGCCGCACACTTTTCCTCATCTTTCAAACATCATATAAGTTTTTACAACCAGAACGTAGAAAATCAATTAGCTCTCATCGGCATCTGATTCACTAGATAAATCTACATCTTTAGAACATATTTGCGCATTATAGCCTGTCTTGCCGCACACACTGCAACGCTGTTAAGCTGACCAACCCTTCTTCAACAGACCCCTATCTTCACCTTCTTGAGGCGCTAGATATTTCTTTTTACCCTTTTCTTCTAGGATAACCTGAGATTCTGCTATATTAAGTGCTCCTTTAAGCTGGATATATATCTGTTTTGCTCTTTAGCGCTTAGTAAGTGTTATATTAGCATCCTAAAGTATATATATTTAATCTGTTAATATTATGATTAAGTATGCTATAACTTATATACCTTTTACTAGCTAGTTAACTACTTTAATTATTAGTATTAGAAAGCTTTCTTAATAGGCTAATATCTAAGTTTTAATAAAGTTTAATTATAAAAGCGCTTTATATTAGTTAGAGGGTGTTTGTAATTATTAGGCTAGTGGTGTTAAGGGATTAGTTGCAAGATGTGTGGGCGTCTATATATATATATTAAGTTTCCTAATTGTATAATTTAAGTTTTATAGTAAAATACTAGGTCTATAGGAGGCAGATTTAATCTTTTTATTTATAAAGATTTTATTATAGGCTTTATAGAAGGTAATAAAGAACTTAGACTTTATAATATAGTTAATAGAGGATTTATTAAATAGGTTAATTTCATCCCTATATATATGCTTTAAAGGTGAGTATAGCGTAATATCTAATAGCTAGAGTAAGTAAGATAAATATAGAGGTATATTAATAGTTATAATATTATTCTACTTATAGTATTTATTAAATTTAGCTGATAAATAACTCTTATATCTATTAATTATAAGCATCTAATAGACACCTTTAATATAAGCCTAAGTATACTTTTTGAAATGCTTAATTTAGTCTAAGCTAGTTTTATTATCAGTCTATCTATTAGTAGTTAGTTTAATTACTTAGTTACTTAGAAAGCCTAATTCTATTAACTAGTTAGTAAGGTGATAAAACCCTCAAATAATTATAAAAAGCAGGGTATATTATCCCCTTAAATTAATACACTTAATAACTATAGCCTATTTATAGTTATTAAGCTAAATAGATTTCACTTTTCTATATCTATCAGCATATATGATAACTATTAAACTAATAATAACGCTTATTATAAAGCTAGTCTTATTAAAATTATATAGATCTTTATTATTAATGCTATATTTAGCTATTATATTACTTAATAATATAAACCACTTTAAAATAACCTCTAGGTCCTCTTAAAATACCTTTTAATAATTATATAAATAATTAAATATAGTCTTTTGAGTTAGCTGTAAGTTAATAAACCTCTTAGCCTAATGCTTCCTAATAGGCATCCTATTCTATATCTACAGCAGGAGATTTGCTATATCTTCTATTCTAGTGAGTTATAAGGGAAATCCTCTAAAATCCTGCTTAATAATATATTAGAGAAGTCTTTTCTCTTTAATCAGATTAAGTTTATATTATTAAGGCTAAATATAGTTAAAGCATAGTTAATTATTTATTCTGTTGCATAAGGTATTTTTAGGGATACCATATATCTTTGCAGCGCCTCGCGTACTAAGTTTATGACCTAGAGCATGTGTCGATCGGATCGCCTCAATAGCAAGAATGATCTTATCTTCTTGGGTGTAAATCGGCATTGCGGTTGTTGAGATATCATGCGTCAAAGGTTTAAGTGGCTGGGAACAAAGCGCGTCATGGAAAAAGTGCGCGGCTGACTGATATGCGCGGCTGACTGGTAAAGTACGTTATTATATAATTATCAAATTATATAAATAAAGAAAAAAAAGAAATTTTTTAATTAAGCTAAAGTGGAAAATTTAAAGTATATATTATATATAGCTTATATATTAAAAGAGGAGGGATTAAGGCTATATATCCCTAAAGTAACTTATTAGCTAAATAGGTACCCTACTTAAGTTTATATATAAGGATTAAAAAAGTTTTACTATATAAGCGGGTATAAAAGATATATAACGCAGAGAATCTATTAATTTAGCACTACTACACCCCCTTAGGTGGATTTTAGACCCCCCTACGAGCAGCACTCCGCTCCCATAGCACCATATGGACAGTGTGGCATGTCATTATTCGACACGGTGTCTGTCGGGGCCTTACAAAGTGAGTGATGCCCGACGACGAACGCTGAACGCAGTCAACGCAATAACAAAGTGACAGGGTAAGCCAGGGGGTGGGATTTTTCTTTTTTTTTCATTCGAGGGCCATCTCTGATTGGCGGAGCTGCTTCCGGATAGCCTTAATTGGCTGGAGGGGCCTCCGGTCGATTTACAACGTCTCATTGGAAGCTCTGACGCTCTCGACTCTTGTGGGTTTGGTCACTTAGTCGTCCTAATGCTGCCTGGCCGGAGAATGTTCCGGGGCACAGAGACATCTGATTGGGGTCCCTCGATTAGTGTGGCACGCTAAGAAGGATCTGTATATCGGCCGCTGTTTGACTCGAAGGTAGCCAGTGTCGGAACCGACAGACATTCTTACTGTCTGTCTGCTTAGTTTCATCTCTGTGTTCCCAAAGCTTCTTCCACGTGTGACCCGGGTTGATTCTGCCATCGCCTCCGGAGCGGACTCCGATGTGCCAGATGCCAGCTCATCCCATTGGCAGATGATGTATTTAGCATTCGACGTTGATTTTCAGGGTCCTAAAGAGGGGGACCACATGGAACTGCTTTACGCCATGACGGCGTCCGCCTACAGTTTCCTTCTGAGCTCCAAGAACCCTGCAGATTCATGCTCCCTGCCCACCATCTGGTCGCTGCCATAACTATCTTTGGGCGTCTGAGGCCATGTTCATAACTTTTAAAACAGCCACACGGCCTGCTATCAGCTCCCAGCGTCTCCGACCATAAGTTGGTCGTTCGATTCCTCCATTATGCTTTGCGGTGCGCCGAGCGCCCAAACGCAATTCCGGGGGTTCTTCAGGGGTCGAATCGGTCGTTGGCCAACCCATCGACGGAACATCTCATCGATCAAGATCGGCCATTGGTGCGCGCGGTCTGATATACAGTAAGTGAAGCATGCTACCTTTTACCAGCGTCGTAAGTCAGCCCACGCCCCATTCGTTTCTGGCGACGACTCAGGGGGTGTCAATTAAGATTTGACATCTCCGGTTCCCCTGGGAGCATCTCCGGTCAAGCTACCATTAAATCTCGATGGTGGCATCACTGATTACGTAGAATTGACAGCTGATTGCATTCCTTGTGAACTCAGCGACTAGAACGCGCTGTTCCGCTTCGTTCGAAAGAATCCGCTCAACGCCCCCATCAGCTGCGGCAGTCCCTTTTCGTGGCTGTCGTTTTTCATCCCTCCGCGAATCCAGCCCGGAAGCTTCCTTCGAATTCTATCTGTCCCGTACCTCCGGTCGACCAGAACGATGGCTGCGTAGTCGCCTTGGTGCCTGATAGCCCGCCCGATACTCTGGTTTACCGCGCGCATGCAAGCATTCTCGTAAAAGTCTCTCGCCGCCTGCTTCGCCGCCACGGTCGCCTCCTCTCTTGATATTCGCGTGGCCGCCGACGCATCGGTCAAACGCTGGACGGTCGTAGTCTCGATGTACTCCGTCTTTGCTTTCCACTCGGGAGAATTGATGTTTGGGTAAGGCAACCCGATAATGATAACGCAACGGCCGAGGCGGTCGGAAAAGTTGATGCCCTCGCTCATCTTGCCGCCGACTACGCTCAGGAGTATCGCACCGCGAGGCTTGTATGCTGCGTCTGCGCTAGGTTCGCCGTCGCCGAGGATGGCCTTGCTGTAGGCCTCCAGAACCTCGTCGCTCGAGCCGCCCCGAGTCTCCTTGAACGCCTCCTTTCTCTCTCGCATGCGGTCCCAGATTGACTTGGACTCGCCGGGATTCTTGGTCTCCCAAACCGCCACAACTTCGTCGAGGTAGCCGTAGCTTGGGAAGAAGACGACGACACCATCGGGAACTACGTTGCAGATGTTGAGAATCGCCAGGCCCAGCTGGCTCACCATCGCCTTGTCGCTTCGACGCTGGAAGCTGAACTCGAACGTGGAGCTGATGTCCCTGTTAGGGCCCGGTTTCGCGCCCGCGAGCGTCCACACGCAGAGGTTCGACGGCGGGATGACGTGGCCGCAGCTGAGCGTCGTGAGTTTCGAATCCGACAAGTATGGGAAGAGGTGGTCCTTGTAGTCTTCAAAGGGGGACATGGTACCACCGGCTAGAATGACTGCCCTGGCACTCGTGGCGATGGACGAGAATGCATGGGTGGGCGAGAGTAGCAGATAAGAAAGTTGAATGTCCGGCGAACTAGATGACGTCTTTTCGTAGAATATGCGGCCCTCCGAGCTGAGGTTCGTGAGAGAAATCAGGAACGATGACAAGATGTGCAGAACCGGGGTCGACGATCTCGGTGGTGCCTTGCCAGCATTGGGCTGGTCGATCTCCTCCTCGACGTGAGCGACATAGCTCTCAATTTTGTAGGCGAGCTTGGACTCCTGGATGTACTGGATGAGCTTAAAGAGATTGATTTGGTCCACGCCCTTGCATCGAAGGAGCACCTTAGAGTCAACTATGCCATGAGGTGTCTGCGAGCTGGTCAGTGATATCCAAGCCTGAAGAATGACGAAGGTATACCTTGAGCGTCAAGGCCCCACTCATCCACTCGGTGAGGCCTTCGATGACTCTGCCAACCTGGCCGACCATGACACGGTTTTCTCCCTTCAATTTCTTGCCGAATCTTTTGACGTACACGCCCAGCATCTGTCGCGCCCGTCTCAGCTCTGTTAGTTTGATTTCCGACGCATATACGTTGGCTACTGCATCCATGATGTTGTGCGCCTCATCGACAATCACTACATTGCCCTCCAGCTTGATGCCCAGGGCGTCTCGGGCGTTCTTTTGCAGAAGGAGCGGATACGGCAAGGTAACGATCTCAGCCCCTGCGATAGCCGCCCTTGAGGCATAATACGGACATACTTCAAGCTTTTTGCCAAGATGATAGAGGTCTTCTATGTCGGGTAGGGTGGCGTGGGCTGTGTCTCGAAACTGGTGAGTCTGCTTGATGTTGTCTTCGTTCAGCGTATAAGGACATTTATCCTTGGCCTTGGGCTTCTGCAGCTCTGAGCATCGGTCATTGATGGCAGATATTGTGCCCAGCTTCGCCACGGATGGGTTGATGCACAGTTTCTGACGGGAGGAAAGGGGTAGATGCTTGACTGGCTCCTTGTCCGGCCGGGCATCTTCACTATCGTTGGGCTTGACCGATGGTGGCATAGATGATGGAAATGCGGGGCGTCGAAGTTCATGGATGAATTGCGTGAGTTGAGAATGCGTTCTTGACGTGTAGTATATCTGACCAACAAGTTACCGACTAGCCCACCAGCGGCATGGGGCTTGCGCACCTTGACTCCGTCCTCAACCTTGTCCTCCTCTTGCTCCGCCTTCAGGTTGCCCAGCCCGAATCTAGAAAGAATGTCCTTGGTTTCTTTGCTCAGTCCAGACATGGCATCGCCGTCGTCTGCGGCACCAGACTCATCGGCCTCATCCAACAGCCACTCATCGTCTGCGTCGGCATCGTTCCGAGCCTTCGAGCTCGAAGGGCCTTCGTCAAATCGACGTCGCTTGGCGCTGCGAATTTCGAGGGCTTTTTCTTTCAGGCGGATTTGCTCCAAGGTTTTCTCTCGTTCTTCCCAGTTGCGAGCTAGCTCTTCCCTCTTGCGCCGGAGCATTTGCTCCACGATCCAATCGGGCTCATCCCTAAAGTCGTCCATGTTGACTTTGAGAGAGGCCTCATGCTCCTCAATACGCTGGTTGCGCAGCCATGTCAGAGATGCACAGATGAGCGAAAGAGATTTACCCTGGACTGCGTGTCAGTGACGACCAGGGTGAATGACGAGCCATGACAGACAGTTCCTGTGGGACTTTCCAGAATGCCAACCTGTCCGTTTCCAGCCTGCAGCACGCCGTAAGCTGTTTTCATGAAGGCAGTCTGCACATCGTACGGCGTGTAGGGATGGTTGAAGTCGATGCCTTCAGGAACAGGCAGGCCGCTGCCTGGAGCAGCCGCCATGGCGAAGGTGAAGTAGTACGCGACACGAGACGATCATGCAATCAGGACATCAAGCTAGTAGGGAGAGACAATGGTGAAGTGAATGACAAAGGCGCAGTCGGGAAATAAAGATCTGACTGATCAAACAACAATCAGATATTGAAGCGAAAGGGGGCGTTCGAGCTGGGTTGGGAATTGCTTCAATGAGATTGGATAGCGGAAGCAGATGGCAGTCGGACGCGCAAAACAAAGACCCACTGGCCGACCGGGTGCTCGCATGTCACAGGTGGTTTCGGTGAAGAACACCCCGGGCTTGCCTAGTTTCGGTCAGCTCGGGTCAGTCAAGGTGAGAGGCTGGGGCTGGTGACATTGGCGAGACCATCCAGCCCTCGCCGGCTTAGGTAACCAGAACACACCAGCAGAATAGCCGGGTGAAAAAAGGGCAGGAGCACAGACCACACCAAGAGACTGGAGACTGGACTAGTCGTCCCTTCCCGCCCAGAAAAAAACCTGCAAAATCCTTAGGGCTGCCCTGCCCTCCGCCCCGCTTAACATTTTTCCGGAGGTTGCCGGCGTGCAGAGGCACCCTCACAAATTTCGTGCGTCTTGCGACTTGACGAAAAAAGAATCCCCATCCGCGATACCAGCAAGACGACCACCGATCAAACACCGTCGCCATGCCTACCCGATTCTCCCGCACCCGCAAGCAGTACGTTGATTCAATCCCGTCTCGGTCACAAACGAAATGAGTTTCTTCTCCCGCGAATGTCGTCGGCGCCGTCGCCGTTGGGATGCTTTGGATGGAGGGGGAAGGCCGGGGGAGGGCAGCCGGACGAGGGCTTGATGTGAGCCGGTGGAAGGCCTTTTGGAACTCTGCTGCGCCCATCCAAAGAGGAGGATGGGGATGGCCGACAAAGCATCGCGACGCGGGAGAAACGAGACTCTCGAATTGATCACGAAGCTGACATGTTTTCGCAGCCGCGGTCACGTTTCCGCCGGTCACGGACGTATCGGCAAGCACCGCAAGCACCCAGGTGGTCGTGGTCTGGCCGGTGGTCAGCACCATCACCGCACTAACCTCGACAAGTACCACCCTGGTATGTTCTCTCTGTTGTCGAAAGAGACCAAGTTTGAACAAGTTTTGCTGACATGGCGCAGGTTACTTCGGTAAGGTTGGTATGAGATACTTCCACAAGCAGCAGGCGTACGTACACCCCGAATCCGAACGACGTGAAGCTTCCGGTAGTGCTCTGCAACCCACGACAATTTCGACATGACGACATTAGACAACGTCCACAACGCGCTCCACATCCCTACACGGGATTGCGAAGGACTGTGGCACATCGAAACAACAGCAGGCTACCACAAGAATTTCATCACGGACGGGACGCAGAGCACACCGGGACGCCAATCATCGGAGGATCCCCCATCCATCGCGTCAGGCACTAACTCCTGTCTGCAGGCACTTCTGGAAGCCCGTCATCAACCTGGACAAGCTCTGGACCCTCGTCCCCGCTGAGAAGCGCGAGGAGTACATTGCCGGCAAGAAGGACACCGTCCCCGTCATCGACCTCCTCCCCTTCGGCTACTCCAAGGTCCTCGGCAAGGGCCGCCTTCCTGAGGTCCCCATTGTCGTGAAGGCCAGGTGGGTCAGCAAGCTGGTACGTTGCCCTCCTCCCGCCTCTTGTGTGCGAGAGTCTTGCGAATCTAACCCTATCCCACAGGCGGAGAAGAAGATCACCGAGGCTGGCGGTGTTGTCGAGCTGGTGGCATAAGTTCGGAAACTACTCCACGGGGAAAAAATCCAAACACACTTGACGGATTGGGAATGACGGCCATGCAGCCTCGGAGCGGGCGGCGGACCGCTTTTTTGTCACACAACTTGCGCTTGGCGGGACATGGGAAAGGGCCTAGGGACGGCTTTTCGCATTGCATGAAGATCTGCACTTCCAAGGAGTTAAACCGAATAAAAAAAGGCTCTTGATCTCACATCGTCATGGCGGGCGCCATCATCGCCCCGCGTCAACATAGATGACGACGCCGGGCCGTGTGTCTTTCTGGCAGTGTTTGGGCGGCGTCTGGGTCAAGTCGGACGGACGGGTACGATTGAATGGTATTACTTTACGTCGTCTTCCACTTGCGTGCCGTGCTTGTGCTGTTGTACATTTGTGACGTCTGGGTCATTTCGCCTGCCCGCGATGCTGTTCCATAATCTCCATTCCGTGATGATGCCGTCCTAGGTCACGGCACTTCAATGCGACCTGCCTCCAAACGCCACCAGCTCTACCTTGTAATCGTACAAACACATGATCATGTTCACGCCACTGGCATAAGAGTTCCTTGCTAAAGTAAAAGAAAAAAAACATTATCATTACGCCTCAAGCATGTCCATCTCGTCGTCCTCGATTTCTACCGTCTGTACGGATTGTTTTGGCTCAGGCTCCCGTAGGAACTCATGCTCCAACGCCTCCTGGGCGCTGATTCTCCTCGCGGGGTCCAACTCCAAGCATCGGCCCAGGAACTCGACAGCCAGCTTCTCCTCGTCATCCAACGGGATACCCGGCTGACCGTCCTTGCCGCCGTCAGTACGGCATGTGGACCACAAGATAATCTTCTCGAGCGTGAAGCCCGCGGTGCCCACTGTGGGGATGTTTGTTTCGAACATGGCGCCGTGCAAGAGACCCGCCTGCTTCATACGCTTGGTGCCAAAAATGGTGGCAATCTCAATCATGGCTTCGACGTCGTCGGCGCTGTTGAAAAAGGGGAAGCGCTTGCTCATAATGGTCAGGAGGATGACGCCTGCTGACCAGATGTCGATCTTGGTAGTCTGTTCTGTGCACTTGAACAGCACTTCGGGAGCACGGAAGCCTCTTGTGCCGGCACGGTTGGCTCGCCGTGACGGGCGGCTGTCTGCCTTAGGGTAGCCTTGCTGGGGGCCGTTTTGTGATGCTGCGCTGTTTTGAATCCGCTGCTTGCGGACGTCTCTGCTCTCGTGGCACAGGCACGGCTTGCTGTCGGATCCCTCGCGCTCGGCGAGACCAAAGTCGACCAATACACCACGCCGCGTTTGGGGGTCATACAGAAAGTTGGTGGGCTTGATGTCGCGATGCAAGATCTTGTGCTCGTGGACGGCCTTTAGCGCGGTAAACAGGCTGCGCAGGTAGATGGCCATGTCTGAGATCTTCATCTGGCGGAAATAGTCGCGGAAGTCCTCGTGGCGGAAGTAGGGCAGAATGGCGACGACTTGGTCGGTGCTGCGGAAGGCCGTTATCAGTGGACAGACTGCAGGGCAGTTTCTGAGATCGTGGAGCAACTCGAGCTCGTTCAGGATACGGGTGGGACTAGAGGTGACGTAGATTTTCTTGATGGCGACATATCGAGCGCGACGACGTGGCTCTCTCGAGGGGTTGTGGCTGCCATTACGCTGCTTCAATGGCGGGGTGCTCCATTTTTGGTCTCGTTCGTTGTTCTCGATATCCCAATCATTGTCGTATCTGTCGTATTGGATGTCTTCGGCCTTGTAGACGGTTGAAAAGGTGCCTGGGCGAGTGTCGGTCAGCAAAAGCTCAAGATAGAGGGCAAGGGACGGTGAGAGGGAAAAGTACCTTCGCCAATTCTCTTAATAAGACGATACCTATGCCGAAAGCCGGGGAAGACGTCTTGCAGACGGACCATCTCACGCTGGACGCTGGAGTCGACGACGTCGTCCTCATCGGAGCTGTCGTCGGTGGATTCGTTGTCGTTCTCGGCGTCGTCGGCGTCGTCCTCGTCCTCGTCGACCTCGGTCTGGTGCTCAGAGCCGGCCACCATCTCGGTGTCTTCTGTACGGGCGTGGGGGGGATCTTCGTGGATCTCGAAGCGCTCGCGGCTCCTTTTCCTGGTGGCAGTAGCCATGGTTCTGGAATCTGGTTTTCGTGCGGTATCCTCGTTGGCGGTCACCGGACGATGGGCCAATTGGAGCTGGGCCTGGGGCTGTTCGGTCGCGGCGGCGTTGTTGGCGTTGTTGGCGGTGGCATGGAAGGGCGAGTAGGCCTTCAAGACACTGTCTGGGGTAGCCCAGTGCTCGACGTTGAGAGCTTGGCCAAAACGAGTCAATTGGTCGATGGCGTCCAGATTGGGTTGATTGAAGCCAGCTGAGGAATCCCGCTGGGTCGAACACTGCGTCATCCGAGGCGGGAGTTGGGGGGGTGATTTGTAGAGAGTCCAGTGTTTTTTTGTATACAAGGGATCTGGCGCAGTGCGTGCCGGTGTTGATGCGGCTGGCCGTGGCGCTTGCTTGGACTGGCTGGCTTGGACTGGCTGGGACTGGCTGGCCGTCTGGCTGGCTGGCTGGCTGGCTGGGTCTGGCGCTGCGTATTGTAAGCTATGTACGTATTGTGTGTGTAGAGCAGTTAGGTGGGTAGATTGAGTCTTGGTCGATTGGGTTCGTTAGATCATCTCAGTCCATGGGCAGTTGGTGTTGGGTGTCACGGTGTCGCTGCCAGTCGTGCTGATTGGTGTCTCGGTCGTGTCTCTTTCCTTTTTCTCCTGATGCAGCTCTTCTCTGTCTCCTTCTGGCTCCGAGAATCTTTCTGATGGCGGGCATCCAGCTGCTTTCTAGTGGAGGGGCATCCTCCTGGCCCCGTCCACCCCGGCCAACCGTCGGCCACGATTTCAGGGTACCGACTCCACTGACAGCACGCGCTGGCCAATGGAGGACGCGAGTGTGACCCCGCACCGCCATTTTGGGACGAAAGAGGAGGGAAACTGCGACCGGCGCGTCGAAAGAAAACAAAAACAAAAACCCCCCTCGGTTGCTAGGCGCATTTGGGTCCTTTTTGGGGGGGCTGCTACCTTACCTTGCAGAGGGGGGGATTCCTGCCGTCACTGTGCACCGTTTTATGTCTGTGTATGTACCACCAAAATAATCCCACCACAACTTTTCGACATCGTCAACACCACAAGCCGATTCCTCCGCCGGCTGGCGCATGCCTACTCACCTTAGTATTTACTACTAACCTTTGCAGCAGGACCACGGCGCC